AAAGTTCATGTTATTATTTTCTGAACGTATACTCTTGTATTTCACAGTTTTGACGGTGTTACAATCTTCTCAATATTGTTCGTCATAAATAAAGTGAAGGTTACATCAGTATTTTGCGTTGGTTACTGGGGCAGCTACAAAATATGCAGCGCTTGAAATCACGTGTCACTTTTTACCGTTTTACTGATATTGCTCTTGGGAGATTATTGCGCACAATGGCACCTGTTCACATGGCAACGGGGTAAATACTAGCTAATAATAGCTAGTGTGTATGACAAGTTCCATTTAAGGTCAATCTATTCAATTCAATGTAAATAACGAACAAGTAACGCGACTTGATGTTGATTTACGTGAAACATTTATGTTTACTTGGAAACCTTGTCACACGAAGCAGTGGGAGCTCGTATTGTAGGTTGTATTTCAGATTCTCGGAGAAACTCACGAGCATAGTGATTGATATTCTCAAACACGTTTATATCAATTTCTCCATTCAATTAGCAATTTGCGTAATGTGGCTTCCTTTCGTGATTGATCTACGAGAGGAAATTGGTATATAGAGACCAAGGGAAATCCATGTACATGTAACAGTTTTTGTGCGACAAGCTACATTTCGTAATGTGGCTTTGTGATGTGAACATGACGTTGAAACAAACAATACAGGATCATACACTTTACTCACCGGATGTTACAAAAACTGCAACCATTAGAAGTCTCAATACACGTGACGTCGACATCTTGCACACTGGTTAGGGGAATGTAATCTTCAGGTCACAGCGCGAGATAACTGTGCATTGTATAGTTACCCCCGGTTTTTATACTCACTTAGGTGTTATTTTGAGCACGCCTCCAAGCGACAGTGATTAGTTCAGTATTGGAAAAGCAAGGACTAGGATACGCCCCTAACAACGGCGTATGTTAATGTTTTCACGAAGCTAGATTTATTCTGTGTCAAGCATGATAAAACCGTAAGCAAACAAACAAGAAATCCACTAGTGAACGAACCATCGACCAGTGCTAAGCCCCCCCCCCCAATGCTCACAAACAAGAAATCCACCAGTGAACGAACCATCGATCAGTGCTAAGCCCCCCCCCCCCCAATGCTCACAAGCTGACATCCACTAGTGAACGAATCATCGATCAGTGCTAAGCCCCCCCCCCCAATGCTCACAAGCTGACATCCACTAGTGAACGAATCATCGATCAGTGCTAAGCCCCCCCCCCCCCAATGCTCACAAGCTGACATCCACTAGTGAACGAACCATCGATCAGTCACGGTGCTAAGCCCCCCCCCCCCCAATCCTCACAAGCTGACTTTGTACAAAAGTTTATATACATACGGACAAGGTATTATGTTCATGGATATGTAACAGCAGAAAAAGCCACATAAAACAGTGAGTTACTTCAAAAACGGGGGAAATGTGAAAATCTTTGTCTCTGCCTGCCCTTCATTAGGCAGTTATTTTGGGGTCACCGTTGTTTGTAGCATGGGGATTCATGTGTAGCTAGCTGGCTTTGCAGTGAATGAAATGTTCGGAGGTATTAAGTTGATGGACATTAAATCATCAAATCTCCTTCATGACCTATACTATATCATGGAGTTATAAACCTTATATACCTCCATGATTATATAAACCTTTTCCTTTTTAGCGCCCTCTATCACGTCATGTGACGTAAATGATAGGTAGATTGAGAATCGTGATAGATTATTTGTTTATTCACGTACAGGAAGTACAAAATAAAACAAAATAATTCGGTGAATGTGGCTAATTTGCATAACATTTGCCAAACATAAAATGCATGTACGGTTCCCGAAAGCACTATTTTTTTCTTGTCATTATCGACATTACAGCTGAGATTTTTGTTTTGTATATCAGAGTTAAAGGGCGGTAGTCGTCGCACCACGCATGTGAGAGATATATGGGTCTCATTGAAACAAAGATGGAGACTTTGACTGTTGTGCAGATCAATGAGTACAAACTGGGACGTTACCAAGTTTTAATTAGGTATTTTTTGGGTGATTGGATGGTATCGAAGGAGTCGAATTCGAAGTCGAAGTCGCGCCCGGATCAAACCTCATACCGCATTGGATTGTGGGAAAATCAATGATTATCAATACAAATGTTGCGCATGCGCAGCGCGACGACTGCCGACCTTTAAAGTCAAGATCATCGGACTGTTTCACTTCAATAGATTATTTATAAAGATTGGACTGCTACCATTTCTGCTGCTTTGGAAGTTACGACCCTCCCGCTTCCATATTTCACTACCGATGCCTTCACCCCGTGAGTACCGTGACTGTGAGTCCTAACAACACAAATCTGTGATAGATTTATGTCAACGCTTTAAACTGCTACAGTAGTACATAGTTTACGCACACAAATACAACGTCACACGCCGACTCTAGTCACTACGCATAACGTGCGAATATTGCAACAACAAAAGATTGTTTTTCCTTTTAAATGTTTTATGACCAATTTTCCAACAAAGCCCAGCACCGAAACACAATAAAAAAATCCTATTATTATACTAAATGTTTTTGTGGGGTCACGGTGAATGAAACCGGACTGTAACTTGTTGAGTCATTGTGGCGAATGGAACCTTGATCCTATGATGGCAAGCGAACACAATGGCACACAATGCACTTGTTTGTATGCTTTTGTGGGGGGAAAACAACGGTTAACATGGATCCCAGGCATGAATACAGCAATTTTTGTATTTACTTTATTTTAGTTTGATGGCGATAGAGTACTAGACACTCTTAGTTTTGGAAAAACAATCAGCGCAGTAACAAATTATATACAGGTAGAATTAATCAGGTAAAAAAAGAAAACAACAAACTATAGAAAAACAAAAAAACTCACACAGAGCAAAACATGTACAACAACGTCATCTTAAAACAAATCAAAAAAAGCTTAGAAAGAAATCCCTTGTGCTGAAAGTATTGAAGGCATGAAGTACAACTAAGGAATATTTACTATTAGGAACACATCTTAATTACACATAAAAAGCAATGCAAAATCATCGTAATATGTCTTATTTTGACCATAGATTTGTCTTTGTCCTTTATGTTTACAGTAAGCGCAAGTGCTTCTAATAAAGCAAATGATTAGGGTGGTTCCAAGCAGCTATGGTTTAACAATTATAAATATTTAATGAAATAACGACAATATATGATGACATATTATTTCATATACATATACATATACAACAAAAGTAAAGCACCGGTTGCTATGTCCCTATCTGCAACAGTACTTAGTACAATACAGTTATGCATAGCAAGAAATACACATTAAACTAATAACAGGTAATTAATATGCATATATTTCAACCCTGGAGTAATCAGAACTGTTGATTATCTAAAAGCACCTATGTACCCAGTGTCATTAAAATTTGATCACTGGTACTCAAGATATCTATGGAGCACATAGATAATTTATGCAAATTAGGTGATTAGTAAGCACAAAATCTAACCCCAAATTAACATGTATATGGCTTATCCCTAAGCATGTACATGTGTACGTATCATGTTTTATTGAATCTGATAAGTGGTTGAATATTGGTGGAATAGTTAAATATTGGCTAATTTATATGCAAATTAGTTTATTAATATACACGGATCTCAACCAAAAACTAATCAGGTTTGTGCATTATCCAAGAACATATATGTACCATGTTTTAGTCAAATCTGTTGAATGGTACCTGAGAAACAAGTGAAAATGCTTAAAATTTGCTAATTGTTATGCAAATTAGGTCATTAATACACATGAACTTCATCCAAAAATAATACAAACTGTGCATTATAACAGAGCATCTATGTATCAAGTTTTATTCTGATAATGGTTCTTGAGGAAAAAATGAAAATGCTGGCCAATTAATATGCAAATTAGATGATTAATATGTAAGTGGTTCAAACAAAGCAAATCAGCACTGCGTATTATGCCAGAACATCTATATACCAAGTTTCATTGGAATCTGAAAAACAAATGAAAATACTTCAATTTGGTTAATTAATATGTGAATTATGTAATCAGTATGCACGGATTTCAATTAAAAAAAACAGGTCTACACATTACCCCAGAGCATATATTTACAAAGTTTCATTGAAATATGATAATTGGTTTTTGAGTTATCAGTTGAACAGACAGACACGCACACACACATACAAGTCTTACCATCGTTGTAACGACACACATTGGATTAATTTTTAATATAGTTGAATTAACTTTTAATATAGTTTCGATATGAACTCGATTAAAACGCGTTCTTATATAGGGTTGCGTTTTAATTGAAGTTTAATTAAACTCAATTAAAATGCAATACAACGTGGAATTGCGTTTTAATTAATTAATTAAAAGTTGAATATCACGTGACTGAACATGTTTGCGAAGCTTAAGTCTAGTAGAAAGGTATGGTACAATTATATTAATATAAATATAAACTGAACCATACCATCCCACTTTACTAAACCTAAGCTTCGCAAACTTGACTTAAATTCGATTAAATATTAATATCAATTATGAAAATAGTGTCGTCACAAGTCGGTGTAAAGATAAATTGAATTCGACACAACGTTGTTCCCCCCCCCCCACACACACACACACACGCAGATGCACTAACCACAAAGACCCATTGTGTGCTTCGCACACGAGAGTAAAAAAAGCTAGCTCAAAGCGGAGGAAAAAATCAGTTTTTCGACCTTACCTGCCTACCATTTGTAGAATTTTGGGCATGCGAGTGAAGATTATCGTTTTAACCCTTTGAGCGGCGGCCATTGCCGCGGCCAACTTTTGGCACCAGCAACACAATGATTGTGTACTGACTGCTCCTATACACATGGCATTTCGATAGAAATTGACAAACCTTTGTTGTGAAAAACATGTCTTTAATATTATGATAAATAATATCAGAATAACGTTAAACTTTACTATTTTTATACACGATATGATATATGTCAGGTTTTCTGGTCGTATTAGTTGTGGTAGTCATATTCTTTAAAATAATTGATATTTCAAAACCTTTGTCATTTATGTTATGGAGCATTGTTTAGTTTAATACCCGAAAATCTTGCTTTTGTAGTGTTGCTATGGTTACATATGGAACACTACTCTATATTTGTGCCTAGTTCGATATATATATATATATATATATATATACACAACAGTGTACTCTCATTACACTGCAGTGACACAGCATATACAACAAGACATGGATGTCATAGTTT